TAAGAGTATAATAATGATTCTAACATAACACTAAGCCAAACACCAAAAGAACAACTACATATGTGTATGTACAACCATACCATTTATAAATTCAATATATTTCATTTCCATTTAGTTTGAAGTATTAAAATAACTCAAATTAAATAAAACTAAAAACTTAATAAAAGATACAGACATAATAAATTCAGACATAATGTAACTAAAATTAAAATAAATAACAAATACAAATAATACAAATCAAATTACAGTAGTTTATCAGTAATCCTAAAAAATAACACTGCCAAACACACATGCTAAAACAACAACAACTTACTTACACATAGTAAGAAATGGTTATAAAAACTGAAACAGAAGCGAAACAAGTAATAGGAAAGAGGAGAAATAAAAAGCAATACTTATTACTTAATACTTAAGTTAAATTACTAAAACTGAAATAAAATAAATTAAAACTAAATATAAATAGTAACTAATAAAAATGACTAAATTACCAAAAATTAAGCGTTAGTGTTAGTTCTGGCAGGTCACGTGAGTCAAGCTTGCATCAGCTGATTCTCAGCTGATCACATCTACCTATAGGAATACGACACCTGTTGTGGCATTCCTATATAAGCTCTATTCAGTATTATTCAGCAGCTTTTCAGCTTGCTCAGGAGCAAATTACCCTCCTCCATCCCCAGCTCTTCCTTTCGCCACAGTCAGGACTTGGCTTTCTGATATTCCTTGCTAATCAGACTCCTTTATCTTGAATAAAGTGTTACACTTAAATATCATTAAGTACATTAATGATATCTGCCTTGTTCTGTTCTGTTAACCCTAGGGGGGTTATTATTGCTGCTCTCCCTGCTCATTCATGACAGGCTGCATGGATGGGCAGGGAGTTTTTTGCCCAGAACAGAACCATACCGCCAAACCAAACTTTATGCTAAGTATCTATCATTTTGACGATAGTGGTCCTGACAGAACTTACATTTTGTCTGTGAAGGTAAACAGCTTGGAAAGAAATTGCATGTTTACATTAGATCTGTGACAGCAGTGTAATAACCTATACTGCTGACTATGCTGATAATATGACCAAAACAATAAAATAAAAAGACAATCACTCACTGCTCTGGACTGTATAACTTCTATAGCTCTAATAAGAGGACATTTCTTTTTTGAATGCTGCTTTTAATAGCTCTAGCATGAAGATAAACGCGGTGGATTGCTTGCGGCTCACTCAGAGCCGGGTTTCTGCTAATACAGCAGTCTGTCAACAGTTGTGAGTGGGGCTTAAAAAATGTGACATCACATTTTACAGATTCTGCAAATGGCTTGTTCTGCTTCAAGACACTTCTTATGATTTATGGGGATTTAAAAAAAAGAAAAGGGTGGATTTTTATCATTATAGGATGGCTGTGTACACACGCTGCCAACACACATTTATGTTCAAACAACATGTAAAAGTGAATTTTGCATAATATGTGCCCTTTAAGCTTAAAGGATACCCTATCGAAGAATGCTTAACAGCATCTCTAATACTGCTGTTTATAGAGCTCTTAGCTTAGATAATTTGAAATTTCATTTTTGCATTAACTGTTCTGTATTGTAACCAATAAAATTTTTATTGTTATGATTGCCTCGTGTGAGACTTATAAAGGCCTTATACCTAAAAACAGAATGACCACAAGGGGATCATCTATGTTATTGAATGTAACGTGGGGTTTGGGTTTTGTTTCCTGTTCATTGTTTTCATGTCTTTTATTTTGTAGTTTGGCCATAGTCATGTTCTGTCATGTGATTCCCTTGTCTGTGTGTTATGTTCTGATTGGTTCCTTGGTTCATGTGTCATGTTCTCATTTGGTTGTCTTAGTCATGAGTCTTGTTTCTCATTGGTTGGTCCTTGTCATGTGACCCTCATTGTTTGATATAAATAGCCCTCATGTTGCCTTTGTTCTTTGTCTAGCTTTGATGTTGTAACCCTGCTGTCGGTGAGTCTGTTTATGCCAAGTCAAGTTTGTTCGATTCAAGTCTGTTCAAGTCAAGTCTTTTGGATTATGTTTTGTCTTTGTGTAAATAAACTGCACTTGGGTTCTCACTTCAACTCACCTTCAGTGGACCATTTGTTACATTGTTGAAGAATTTTTCACTGCGGGCAGGTGAGTACTTCATGATTTAGGCTAGATTTGACTATTCCTACCCAAACTGATTGAATAATAATAGGGTTAAAGGAATAAGATAATAGGACACACCGAGAAACAAATCCCACCCTACATTTCTTGTCAGCATATTTGAACAAATCTGCTGAATGCTTACAAAAATATATGTTGACATGTTCATGCTGAAGTCACTTACCTGTCCCCATAGGCAATTTCCTGCCGTTTCCTGCCGTCAAGAGACACCCAGGCCGTGTTTCTGGCATCACGGGACAGCATAATCTAAAATCATAAAAGGATTCAGTAAATGTCCTTATGCAGTCAAAGCCAAAGAGCAGCAGGTGTTGTGGATTCACCTTGAGCTCAACGCCAGCAGGCACTACGATGGGTCTGAAAGAGAGGGAGTGTGGACAGATGGGTGTGATCATGATGGCTGGAACATTAGGATGGATCATAGTGGCACCTGCTGCTACTGCGTATGCAGTACTTCCTGTGGGAGTGGACACTATCACACCTGGCAAAGAGAGCAAGAACAATATTATTTTTTTAAAATACAATTATTTTTTATTAAAGCACATCACTGAACATTATTGGACAAAATGCTTTTCTTGAATTTCATCATCAGCATTGTTTCTTTTTAAGTAAAAATATAACCGTAAACAGTAGGGTTGTAACTACACAAAAATGACGGTTTGGTACATACCTTGGTTTTTAAATTACTGTTTGGTATGTTTTCGGTGCAGAAGGGGGAAAAAACAGAACATGCTGCTTTTTTTTCTGTGGTTTACTGAACAAACTATGCCTTATTTTACACTAACCATCTCCCTGAACAGTGGTGATCAGGTGGCCATCCAAAAACAAGTCCACATTAGAGAGGTAGGAAGACGGACCTCTGTCTACAACGACTTCATTCAGCACCTGACAGAAAGATATATTATTTACAGAAAATAAGACCGCTTTACACATGAAAATATCTGGAAATCCAGCATAATAACTGCCAAAAAATGTAACATTTTGAAGTGATGAATATCTGCTATGCACATATTATTTAGCTCAAGTTGTTTTGATTAAAATTATATCAGATTAAAGATGTGCAAAACCCCTCTGGGTCGATAATCGTGCCGGCACTTTTTGTGGCATTTTTTTCTGATAACACCGAAAATAATTTAAATTACTCTGTCATTTTTGATTGTACAGATAAAAGCAATACATCATTTGAATCTGTAAAGGGTCTACTTTTATTTGTATACACTCAGAATAACAACAAAAAGCTGTGTTTTTGTAAAATAAAGAAAACACATAGGGTGTGCTTTCTTCGTCTCGGTCTCTGTGAACTTCTTTCTGAAACGCGTTACAAACATTAACCAAAACTCAGCGAATTCTTGACACACAGACATGAGAAATATGTCTATAAAAATCTTTTAATGTCTACTTTCAGATGAAGTAAGTCATGTCGAAAACAAATATTCTTTGCTAAATTAATCTGTATGAAACCAACGCGAGGTCCAGTTTTTCCCATCTGAGCTCATTATCTGTAATAGGATCAAGCCCACGTGCAACGCTCGCTATTCATAAGGTAATCATCATGTGAGATATGTGAACACATCACCTCTGTAAACAAAGTATGAAGATTCATCAAGTTCATCTAGGCTACTTTTCGTTTCTGGAAGAAGACTCACTGTGAGGAATAAGACAGAATTTATCTCAGAAGAAGAATGCGATGCAATGTGCAGCTTGAGTCAGCAGAGATCATTTCTGATGAGTTATTTTTTATTACTTGCATTAGTTGTTATTGTGTTATTGTGACATAATAACAGTTAAACATTAAATTTAAAGTAAAATTTTAACATTGAACTATTTAGACATTTCCCAAACTATAATTCCTGACTAAAATGTATGAAATCAAGTGAAACATTTTGAAATATGTTTAATTTAATTGCATCTAAATACCTCACGATGCTAGGATGTTTTTTAATGTTCTTTACAAAATAAAACAATATGATATAAAAGTAATATGAGTGTGTACAATCAATGTAACACTATGAATGTTAGAGTTTAAGAATGTTTAGACCAATGTTTACTGTGAAATGTTCTGTTTGTGAATATATGTATTTGTTTTTAACGTTTAACAATAATAATTTAGTTTCTCAGACAAAATGTTTTTGTATTTGTTTTGTATAGTTTTTGCTAACTGTTCTGCCTTTGGCTGCACAGACGAGCACAGAACACTATTTAGTGTCCCAGCCTCAGAGGAGACAAGAGATCAGTGGATTTATTGATTTACTGTATATTGCTGCTGCCACACAGATCTAAAATAAACATGCGATTTATTTCCCAGCTGTTTACCTTCACAGACATAACCGACTGTTTTTGTAAGTCATGTGTGCTTTTAACGTAAACTTGTGTGTGAATGAGAACTTAAGTTTAGTACTCACATGCTGTGACAGCCACTTTCTGTATGTGTGCTTCGGATGTGTGCACTCAGAAAACCGAAGTTTAAAATAATATGGTTTAAAACGCATGATTTCAGCGCGATAAACATGATAATCAAAACCAAAACAGATGTTTTTAGCAGGTATGAGCTGTAATGGACCTTTTTCACATTTCTGGGTTTCTCAGCAGCAGAAGTCGTCATAGTTGGGTAAACTTGAACAGCAGTGAATGGGAGAGTACCACAAATAATTTTTTTGCATTCCCATTTGCTCAAATAGCAAAAGAAAAACTCCACGATAGTGTTTTCATGACTTTCAATAAAAGGAAAAAAATTGAGAGAGACTGATATCGGCAGTCAGAAGAGAGAACGATGTCAAATTTACCGTCCCTCCCATAGACGCTGCATTAGAAACACCCTCGCATTAGTGTTGTAAACTGGTTTTTTTTGTAATTTGATGCAAAGGTGATATAATACAAATAATAGTGTTATAAATGTACATACATTAAAAAAAAAATACAAATATGAAAAACTTTATAGAGGATTTACAATGCTGATGACCGTTAAACGCGCACTGTCTCCCTCATCTAACACACCCGATTCAACTCAGCTTCAACTAATAGCCATTGTAATTGCTACTACAGTGAGAACAGTAGTTTATTTTTATGTTACAGTCATTTATAATGTGATATTAGTCAAGATATTGGACTCTGAATATTGTTGTATTGTTTTTTTTTTTTGACAGTTTTCACTGCAAATGCTAATGAGGATAAGTGCCAGTAAATGATCAACCTTACTATGACTCTGTCTTCATTGGCTACGGTTTAACTTGGTGTTTAGTCAGAGTTTCAACACACTGTACAAGAACACTACAATTATTATTTTTTGTAATCATAGCCATTATTGTATAAAGCATTAACTAATTTGATGGCATGTTGCCGAACTGAATTTGAGGCTGTATTTCTGCAATGCTCTGGAAACAAAATTCCTGAGTTCATGCTCAGTCAAATGCATACCATGGTTTCAATTTCTGCCTTTAAAATTTTTTGGAAAAACCTACTTTTTGGAACGCGTCCTAGACAGCTACTCTGATTTTCACCAAAATTGTCTCAGATCATCATGAGGCTATGCTGGCAAAAAGTTATGGAATTCAAGTTGAATTAATTTAGGGCATCAAACCATAAGTGCATTAACGAATATGATAACGAGCATGCCAAAATGTACGATAGGCTGTGTATACACAAAACTTTGGGTGTCATTACCAGCATGACCTAAATGTTCCTGCACAATTTCGGCATAACACCACCAAGAGATTTAAAAACTGATATTTTTGCTTAATGCATCATTACGCTAACAAATATAGCAAAATGCACCCATTTATTCAACTCATCTCTAATATGTTACAATTAAGCAGTACATACTGTTTATGGGGGGCGGATTCTCCCCCATCTTTTCCTATTTGTTATAGATTGCAAAGGACTTACTCTGTTACTAAGTTATTTTAGCGGTATTACTACTAAATTTAAATAGTTTGATAAATGGTTCACATGTCTACCTAAAGAAAGGGCAATTAAAATGAAACACACTACTGAAATCCAATATGTAATAAAAGTTTTGACTGAACAGTTACTGTAATTCCCTAAAAAAGTCAACAATGAGCAATAGGGCTCTGGTACTCACTTGATACTGCATAGTTTTGTTCCCATTAGTGACTAAACTCATTTCCTCCACAGATCCATTCTCTCTATATTCTTTCACTACCTTCACTTCTAGACGACTGCGTAGAATTATCGCGGCATTTCCTACAAAAAGAACAAGAAATACTGCATTAATTCTTTACATACACACTATTTACAAAACATTATAAATATACTGCACGAAAACATGAACTAAAACATTAAGACAAGCAAACAGTACTGGCATAATATTAGGAATTAAAACAGACAAGATATTTTCATTGAATTAATTATATTTTTACATAAAGCAACATTACTCTTCCAAAATTAAATATCCTGGATACAAGGTAAATAGCTGCAAAATGCTGATGCCTACCATATGAAATAGCCTTTGAAATGGCTCGTGTCAGACTGTGAAAAATCAGATGTCTACTCACAGTGTAATGACTTACCTTCTATAACCTGGGTGACCTGAGATTGGAATGTGTCGAAGTTAAATGGTGTAAGAAAGCCCAGAGAACCCAAATGGAAGGCCATGACAGGAGGCACACTCTCCTATATCATACACACACATTTACATTTATGCTTTTAAGGAGTGTTCACACAGACAACAATCTGAAGTAACAAAGCTACTAGAAGTCATTCAATTTCTAATAGAGGTTGCAATTTCTGGCAACATAAATGACATGAGGTGAGCAGGTTACGTGAGAAAAGGTTCATTTTATGCAAATGAACAGTGACTATGGCTACAAAAACTGAAAACAAAGATAATAAACTGATAAAATATCAAAGATTTTTTTTGCAAGATACATAATTGTTGAGCACATAAATGCATAGAAAACTAGATACATTTCAATTAGTTCATAAGCCTACAGTGTCAGTAATGTCAAACTGTCCTAATTAATGAGTTTCAAGCAGTCTGAACCTCAGATTTTATTTTACTTCTATGGTGGTGCATGAGGAACATGAAGAAACAAAAGTAAAATTTCTCAGAGTTTGCAGCACAAGCTCACTGACTGAGTTCTGAACTCTCTTTAAAGATACCATTCTAATGAACAAGGCACATGCACTGTAAATAAGAGATTTACTCTTATCCATACTCCATAACTCATATACATTTCCTTGAAAAGAAGCAAGCCATGAGCAAGGCTATTCATAAAGTACCAACATGTAAAATACAGAAAGCCACGCCTTCTCTCAATCAAATACACATGAGCCTGCTAATCAAGGTGTTTAGAGTTACTTGGAAATTACAGGCAGGTGTGTTGGACCAGGCTTAGAACTGAAGACTACAGGAAGGTAGCTCTCCAGGAGCAGGGTTGGAGATCTCTGATTTACACCTTTCTTTGAACTAGCCAGATTAGCCATCTTTTTAAGGCTCTGTGTAAAGCAAATATTAGTTAATTTTAAACAGTGCTTACAAATGCAGCTAGTAACAACATAAAAATCCTGTTGTAACATCAATTGTCAACACTTTATTTTAAGGTGTCTTTATTACACGTTACATGTTCTTACTATTATAATAACAATAAATTATTAACTAAATAATAAGTCAAAGCCAAACTTATTATTTATTAACTAAATAATAAGCCAAACCCTAACCCTAACCCTAACCATATAGTAAGTACATGAATAGTTCATTAATATAAGTACTTAAATATATAATTACACTGTAAGAAGGACACCTTAAAATAAAGTGTAACCGTCATTTGTTATGTTAGTATGAGCAGACAAACCTTCCATTTATACACTGAAAAAAAAATGAAGTTGACCATAATTAAATATACCATAATTAAATTTAACATTTTTAAAAATTTGTGTTATTGTGTTGTTATTTTTTTAACATTTGTGTTTTGAACGAACCTATTTAAATCAAGTAAAGTCAACTAGAACAAATTAGAAGAAACTATAAGAAATATAATATGTCGAATAAACATGTTTATCATAAAAGTGTTTACTTCCTGGGTTGTTGACTTGTTGTATTCACATGTTCACTTAGAGGTTTTTATGACCCGATGTGTCTAATACTAGAATTATATTAAAAAAGATAAGATAATCTTTGAATGACCTGATGTTTTTCATCTAAAATGGGAAAATATATGTATTATGGAGCGCTGAACACTCTCATAACATAATGTATATTTCATTTACTTGAAGCTGGAGGCCGCTCTCTCACACAAAGTCTAAAACGTACTAGACTCATAGAGGTAATAACTTGTCAAGTTAGTATAGTGGCTTTAAAAACACATGCTTTTACATTTTCTTTCATTGCATTATGACAATGCATAAGTACAAACCAATCAAAAAAATGTTGTTATAAAATACAGGGAAAATGTTATAGAATACAAATAATTGGTTATTGTTAAGTAGTGAGATAAGAAAAAAATTAAAAACCTGTTAGATGAATTGCAGAAAAAAATGGTATCTAAAACACCTCAGATAATAATAATTTGTTGCTCACTTGCCTGTGAGATTTTTTCCCTCTCTATCTAAGGCACAAGAGGGACATATGGAGCAATTGTTTGGATCCTAAGCTTTTGGTAAGAGTCTTTAATGCTATATTGACTCATGCTTTAAGGAAAAAGAAAAGTTAATTAATTCTGTTCCTCACATTTATGAACAGTACAATTAATGTATTCATCAGCTGCCACTGTAGATTTTAGTCAATAATCCTTACATTTAAGCAATATAGTGATGCCTATGTTTGGATCACTAACATCTATTAATGGCCAATGTTTAAAATTTAGTTGATATAACTAAAAAACATTGAGAAAGCTCAACTTAATTTTTTTTGTCGAAAAGTAAGATAAATTAAATTAGTGTAACCACTTGACTTTAAAACTTAAAAAAATTGAGTAAATTCAAAGTAATTTTTTTCAGTGTATAAACGATCATTTATCGCCTGCTTTCACTACACACTTTCTGTGAATGAAAACTGACCTGTAATGAGCCTGATTTACACAAAAAAAAAAAAAATAATAAAAATGTTTTTGCTAAATTGAATAATTCTGATGGTTTTCTTTCTAGAAATACATAAATGGCACAAAATATGTCATGAATGTTTATTGAGTATTTTGTATAAGGGGATCAAAATGACAATATTTAGTTCCCTTTCAGTCGGTCACTCCGAGTTACGTCGGTGACCGACGAATTGGGATCTCGCTTAGAGAGACCAATCCACTTTGAGTGTAAACTAAACGAGCCAATGCACATTGGCATGCGATGATTGCATCCAGCTGCCGCTGATCACAGCGTGAGCATAAAAAGGCAGCCGGTGCAACGCATACCAGCTTTTCGCTTCAGAGCCGAGCGACAACATCGTTCTGCTCCTACCAAACTGCTTCATGTGTGACGAGTCTAGCGCGCTCTCGGGAGCTTTTTGTATTGGCGGACAGCGCTTCAGCTGTGGTTGTTCCTGTGTCGAGTGGGTTGCGCACTTCAGGCTGCACTACCCCTGTCGTGCTGCCAAGGGCCGTTTCCCCTGTGCGTCTCAGCACGTAAAAGAGCATTTCCCTAAAAGAGCCAATTTCTCTAAAAGAGTTCAATAAGCAGGTGCGTCTTAGTAAATACGACGGATCATCTTTTTAAAGATGCCATTTCACCCGTGCGTTTCTGGATGCGGTC